GTTCTCTTTAAGGACTCAGTTACCCCCCCCCTTCAATTAGGGTTGAGCACTCTCTTGTGTTGCCCAATAAATCCTCCGGGGTGTGGGGGGGAGGCAGACAAAAGACAAGACTTGAAAATTGGGATATTTTTAGGGAAGATACAGGGAGAGTAAAATAACCCATTCCTGCTTCTTCCATATACCATAAGGGTTTTTTAAAAAGGGTGTGTGGGGGATGATGCACAAACCTATTTCTCTCTGCCCTTCTCTTTACTGGCACTTTTTAATACTTTGCCTAAAAACGCTAAGTGAAGAGAAACACTTGCACCGGAATCACTAGCAGGCAAGGCCAGACAGCCTTAGTGATAGCCCACAGGGAAGGGGACTTGAGGAGGGGGCCTACAACATGTCACAGTCCCTGCGAAGACCAACCTCAGTGCCATTCCCTCTGACAGATCCACCATGGTAACAAGTAGCACTGCCGAACTGCCCAAAACAGCCAGTAAATTGTACAATGTGAGAGACTTTCTTCTGTACCTAACAGAAGATGTTACCCAGTGTCTCTTTGGTGGCCTATGTGTAATGAACTGTTTGTGGTCCCCTTCCTAGTCACATGTGATAAAAGTACACACACTAGTATTTGCAATGTGCATGTGAGGACTGCTACAACAGGGTTTGAACTGGGGGACCTCCAGAGCTAAAAGCATGAGCCACCTCAACTTGAACTAAAGAGCTATGATGCTACAACAACTCATGTCCCCAGTGGATCAGCAGAGGATCCATAAAAATCATTCACCAGTGGGCTACACATGTTGCTGGGACATCACAGTACAGAAGCCAAGGAGTGAATGGGCATGGAGAATGAACTATCCCCGGTGTATCTCATGGTCAGGATCAAGACCAACCCTTGGAGTAATGCAGTGTGACCTACACTTCTTAATCCACTCTTAAGGAAGTAAAGTTTGAGCCTTTTGCTGAGAGACTCAAGTAATTGCGCTGACTAAAAAAAAAACCAAAACATCCTCCCAAGTATCCGTCCACAATCTATGTATGCATAGATTGTGGACGGATACTTGCATCTATGCAGAACGCACAACTTCAGCAAAGATAGAAAACTCACTTCTATAAGAGGCAAGAAAATCATCCATCAGATGGAGAAGTTACCCAGTAACCGTCCAACTGCTGCCAGATAAATACCAACTTTTTGCACAGTAAAGCAGAGTGCATTCTATTCTCCACCCCAATACAGCCTGGCTCAAAAGCTGTTGTCTGAGCTAGTGTTGGATCATGCTTTAAAGATTGCTCCTGTCACTCAAGAATTGACAGTCTGGTTTGGCTTGTTCTTTCAAAACATTATATAACAGATTTCCTTGTTTGTTTTTAAAGGAGAGGTACTAAAGCAAGGATTCCATAATTTGGTTTAATGAAGACTCATTGTTAATTTGGAGGTAACGGGAAGCTGGTGAGCCATTGTTGGATCAAATACTTTGCTCTTATCCCCTTGAGCTATAAGAAGGTGAGCTCCAGAGTATACAGCATGTTATAAAATAAGTGACAATATATTGAAGATTAGTAGAAATAGCTTATGTGTCTAATTCTGAAACTAGATGCATGTCAGAATCTCAGTGCAAACTGTCCTAATTAGAAACAAATTCTCATGACCAGAAATCAGGTGAAACTATTTGTGATTCTAGAATTGCTGGTCTGGATTTTGCCTTTGCTTGAGTAAGCAGGTCTGCTTTAAAAACAATAAATAACTAAACATACTGCAATAGTTCAGTGGGTTAAAAAAACCCACTGAACTGCTGGTAGAAAACAAAGATTTAGCCTTTTATATGGAAGGTGAGGGATAATTTACCTTAATTATAATGGTGTGGTCAGGTAATAGGCAGCTGGTTCAACAAAACCAATGGTCACTCAGGATACTATTCTACTAGGATATTAAAATCAGGTATGTGTACTGAAGAATTTCCAAGGCTGTTTTAAGTTCACAGGGTTTTTTAGCTCAATTTCTTTTAGTTAGGAGATGGAGTAATGTTGGCAATATTTCATTTATGAGACCACTTTTGTCCTTTAGAAGAAAAAGGAAATTAGTTTGGCAAAGAGGTAATGGATAGTACTTAGGAGCAGGATTAAGTATAAGAAGATCTGTGACTTGAACAGGAGCTGCTAGAGGAAAAGAAGCCTCTGAAAATTCAGACACACCACAACCCGGACAATTATTGGAAACCTCCTCAGGTGCTCCTGCTAGGTTTCCAATGTACAAAGTACACTTCTCTAGAAAACACACTGAAATCCAAAGTTCATCATTGAATGGGTGTTTCTAGTGGGGTTCCACAGGGATCGGTTCTTGGCCCGGTGTGCTAGTTAACATTTTTATTAATGGCTTGGAAGACAACATACAATCATCAGTGATAAAATTTGCAGATGACACACAAACTGGGATAGGGGTAAATCATGAAGAAGATGGATCACTGATTCAGAGCAATGTGGATTGCTTGGTAAGCTGGACTCAAGCAAACAATGGGTTTTAATATGGCTAAATGTATACATCTATCAAAAAATGTAGACCATATTTACAAGGCGGGGGACTGTATCCTGTGAAGCTGTGACTCTGAAAAAGATTTGGGGGTTATGGTGGATAATCAGCTGAACATGGAGAATCTTAAGTAAGAAGAGAGAGGTTATTTTACTCCTGTAAATTGTATTTGGCAATGGTGTGACTGCTGCAGGAATACCGTGTCCAGTTCTGGTGTCTACAATTCAAGAAGGATATTGATGAACTGGTGGAGAGCGTTCAGAGAAGAACTACCTTTAAAAATCTGACCTTTAGTCTCTCTTGGTGCAATCCTGCTTTTGTTATAAGAGATTATAAAATAATTCAATAATTTTTTTAGTCTTTACTGCCAAGCAACAAGTACTCGGCTCTAAATTGCTGATTCTCCAGGAGAGGTAGGGGTGTTATGTTAAGTGGTAGATTCCTTTACCTGATATTAAATACAGCAACATCTGTCAGTCTGGCGTTTCAGCTCTGGACTAAGTCTCTGAAGTCAGTATGTGCCAACATGCCACCAGACAGGCCCAATTTTCACACCACAAAGACTGGCATAAGAAATTAATGTTGTATTAAAACATACAACAGACAAATAAAGATAAATGTTTTCCTTGTATTATTTTGCTATTTTCTCAGTACACAGATTTTTACTTAAGCTCTTTTATCTTTTGAACGGCTCTGTTCTATATGTGTGTTTATTTGCATATACAGTAACTCCTCGCTTAACATTGTAGTTATGTTCCTGAAAAATGCGACTTTAAGTGAAAGGATGTTAAGCGAATCCAGTTTCCCCATAAGAATTAATGTAAATGGGGGGGTTAGGTTCCAGGGACATTTTTTTCCACCAGACAAAAAAACTATATAGATAGACACAGAGTATACTTTTTAAACAAACAATTTAATACTGTTCACAGCTATGATGATTGTGAAGCTTGGTTGGGGTGGTGAAGTTAGAGGGTGGAAGAGCGTGGGATATTTCCCGGGGAATGCCTTGCTGCTAAATAATGAACTAGCACTTGGCTGAGCCCTCAAGGGTTAACACATTGTTATTAATGTAGCCTCTCACACAAGGCAGCATGAACACGAGGGAGGGGAGACAGCATAGCAGACAGAGAGAGACACACACCTTGTGTGTGGGTGAGAGAGATGCACACTGCCCCTTTAAGTAAGCTGACCCACTTTAAGTGCATTGTCTTTTTAAGTGGATCAGGAAGTTGAGACAGTAGCTGCTGCCCCAAGCTATCTCTGTCCGTGTCCCCTCCCTGCTTTATATGGAGAAGGAGTAAGTGGGGTGCAGGAGCAGGGGGGAGGGGGACACCCTGACATTAGCACCCCCCTTCCCCTCCTGCACAGCAAGCAGGAGTCTCTGGGAGCAGCTCCAAGGCAGAGGGCAGGAGCAGCACATGGCAGTGGGGGGAGAGACAGCTGAACTGCCTTGATAGCCTGCTGGACGGCTGCAGCACAGGGAACTTAGGCGAGCGGGGAGCAGATAGGGGAGCTGCCAGTCCACCCTGGTTACAAGCCCCCACCAGCTAGCTGTAACGGGCTGCTCTTCCTGCAAGCAGTGGACAAAGCAGGCGGCTCCCAAATGACGTTAGAAGGGAGCATTGCACAACTTTAAACGAGCATGTTCCCTAATTGATCAGCAACGTAACAATGAAATGTTAACCGGGACGACTTTAAGTGAGGAGTTACTGTATATTATATATAATCTATTCCCCTGGCATGGCAATCCTGCAGGGAAAACTCCAATTAAAGCTAAGGGAAGTTTTGAATGAATAAGCACTAAAGGATCAGGCGCCTTGTCAGACATGAGTTCTGAGTATTTAGCAAGCAGACCAACACACTTTGTGAACGCTTGCTAAACAGAAATGGTCCATTGTCTTCCTTGAGTTACAATGTACATTAAGTTGATTAGCTTTTCTAATGGAATTGAATACCAGGTTACATAAACTACAATGAGTTGGGTTAATTTAGGACAATCCCCATTTGGGGGGATGGTGGTATTATAAACTTTAAAAATCCCATAAACCTGTATTTCATGTCCCTAGAGGCCAAGACCAACTCATAGTAACCTACATCCTGAAAAGACTTTGTGTGTTGTTTGGATTGATCAAAAGTCTTATCTAGTTACAGCTGACTTTGTACCTATATTTAATCTGGTTTTACGTCAGCTGTATATACAACTTCCTTCTGAGTTCTGAAGGGTCCATCAGAAATTACTGTTAAACATATGAATGACAGTTAATAGGGGTTCCTTTTTCTATTCAAACTATATGCAAATGTAAATAAATAATCATCTTTTAGGTTTTTCCCAGGTAAAATCTATGACAAAAATACAAATATTCATTTAAACTTTGTGCTAAGATTCTTAATGGCCTAGGAATATTTCAACTAATTAAATTGGCAGACATTGCAAAAAAACAAAAAACAAAAACCAAAAAAAAACCTCACACACACACAGTAAAGAGATCTCCTTTTCTCTTTTATTGATACTGCCAATGCGACTACCTTTACACAGGCAGATTGCTTTCCTACATTACACACACTTTTTGTATTAATTTGGAAGTAACATTTTGCCCCCTATGCCTCCTAAAGTTATCAAATTAACACACAGTTATACCTTAAGAATCAGTTTTCCACCATTTTCTTTTAACCAATGACATTTACTTTTTCAGATCTGTGTAAAGGCTACTTGGCAAGAGTACATGCATATGACATTAAATGGAGACCAATCCACCACTAAAAGGTAATGCACATAAAACATAATACAGTACTTTGACATCATTTCAAATAAATACCCATGTACAAATGTAGTAATTTTTAAATGTAACAATATTTCTTATGAATCAATACTGTAACAGAAGATGAAAATATAAGAAGTCCCCACATCTAGGAATAATAATGCTTCTTCCAGCAAACAGAAATCTTTTCCCCACTGACAATATTATTACAATTTGTACTTTTTTTTGAGGGAGGGAAGTCCTCCCCCTCCCCCTCCCCCAAGTACCAATTTAATGATTCACACTAGCCTCAACAAACAGCACCAAGGCAGGTAGGTACAGCTTGTTGATGCTCTTTTCACTTTCTGTTTCCTGAAATTACAATGATTAGATACAACATGCAAGAGTAGGTATTAATGTCTTGTCTTTCACATTTCCAAACAATACTATGGTTAAACTGTATCCACCACCATACACAGCTAACAGAACATTAATGTTCCCAATACATCCTCTGTACTGCAGCCACAAATGTGTTAATACATCTTGCTCATTTGTTCAATAAAAGTCCATTTGGTTCCCAAAGTGTATTTGGGTTTGTTATTTTTTTTTCTATACCCCTGAATTTGCAAGGATCTGCATGATGAAGTATCATTGACTAACAGTATTTTTTACAATTTCTTGTGTATATATAATCTCTATATTAAGACTACCCATTAAAAATGTGCGAAAGGGGAGTTTGCTTTGCACTTATTGCTCCACATCTTTACTAAGTTCCAAAACAACTGTTCATTTCTTCTTGTATAGACTAAGCTATTCTAGGATTCTCACTTAAATTATTAAAGGCACTACTGGCAATAATTAATGACAAAAAGGCGCTGAAATAGAACACCCTATTCATTGACAACTTTAGAATTTTTCTTTCTAAATGTACCATAATTTGGCACAATAAAATGAAGTAACAACAAAACAATTCCAATTTGGAATTTAAACCATACAGTTGTATAAAATTCTGTTAATCAATAATACTTCACACCTTCCTAAAACCCAGAAATTCTGGAATTTATAGGTAACACTACTTATTTAATATTTTTCAAGTGCCTATTACTGTTTTAACTAGAGCAAAGTCAAGTTTTCTTCTTGTTACATTGAACTATTCCTAAGAATAATAATACAATATGAAAAAAACCCCAGAATTTGAATACCCTGGATTTCTTAATGAACATGGCAGTTAAAAATCAGTCATTTTAACACATAAAGCTTAACATTTTATAATAATAAAAAAAGCTGCGGAAGCACAGCACATATATAGTTTAGCAGAGCTCCTGGTTTGTGTCTTGAAACTCTTTTTCTAAACACGGTCTAGAGCAAAAATCAAAAATAGTCCAAATCTCTGCCACATGCTGATGTAGAAAATCAACAAGCACAAGCCCAAAATGGGGAGAGAGACTATGAGCACAAACCACTGCCTTTTATATAAACTCTTCTACATAAGGAATTAAAAGAAGCTAAAGTAAAATATCAAAATATCAAAAGTGCACAGGTTTAACAATCAGATAAAAAAAATGAATATCTGCAATGAAATAAGAAAAATTCCCCCATCTGAACATTTCTAGTAGATCATAAAGTAATATGGTGAGCATTACGTTCAAAGTAGGTTTCTTCAGCACTTGTAAGTTTTCTTCCTGCAGCAGCACTTATAGGTAAAGCTTGTTTGTTTTATAACTTGAGACATAAAAGTAAAATTGCAGGTAGTATAGTGGAAAAAGTTGTTTTTAAAAAAACCCAACAATCTAGGATCAGGTCAGTGGTTTCCATTCTTTGTGCAACAGGCTACCACTGTTTACCATAACGAGGCAGGCTAAGAAATACTGTTGCACTGTTGGAAAGGCATTCTCCAGGAACTACTCTAAAGCTGAAAAATGGAAAACAGAATAACATTAGAAAAATTGGTACTCATTCATCAGTTAAAGAACTGACTTAATACAGAGTGCACTGCAAGATCTCCATAGCAGGTTAGTCAGTTGAGGGGCATCTGTTAGTTTCCCAAGGTAGAGGCAGTCACTTTAGTTGGCATGTGCTTTCCAAGCTAATGAACAATGCTTTACATGAGTACTGCTCAGAAGCAACAGCTTTGCAGGAAGATTTCTTACAAGTACTGAATAAAGCTATACTGTTTGAGCAAAAGATACAGCAGTGAGTATGCGAAAGCCATTATCAATGAAGATTTAGATTCTCCAAAGACATGCAGGTCAGTATATCATGCAGGCCAATGCAGAGAACAGTAATCATTCAAAAGAAGAGCCTGCTTGAAGAGGTAGTGATGGCTTAATAAGTTTTCCAAGCTAAATCCCAACCCATTGAAAGGGAAATGAAAGACTTAACATAGCATAGGTAAGTTTCAAGAGATTTGTTTCACAAAAGTACAAGCCCCCATAATCTTAAATATATTAATCTAAACATACACACAGCAGGAACAGGTCACTTTTATGTACCGTTGCTCATTTCTCTTTAGATCAGGTTTTAAAACATACACTGTTTTTTATCTTAAGAGTCAGAGATGAATAAAAATGGAAAGGATTACTAAGCTGGTTGTGATGTAGCAAAACTATTCATATTTTGTAATGACAATATGAGCCAATATTGATAGTAATAGTCACCTTCTGATAACACTGAAATCTTCCTATAAAGTTTCAATTGACTTTAAAACTAATCAATGCATGTAGTTTCTTAAATGTACCTTTTCTAGAATTACTATGTTGTGACAATACTTCCACTAGAGACAGGGAAGCAATACAAATTGTATTAACAGCTTCCTACCAAAGTGGAAACAAAATGATAGCTACTTCTAATGGAGCAAAATGAGTTAGTAATCTAAATGCTTACTTTTACAAGGCATTCTTTATAATTACCCACAATGCAAAAATGAGAAGAATATAAAGGCCTTTTGGAGGATTGTGCAGCAAAGAAGAGAAAAGCAGGCTTGAAAATTGTTCAAAGGTATTTTGCTTCTAAAAATATCAAACCTGCTACATAGCAATATTAAAGCTCAAATTCAGGAGAATACAGTGTTTTCTAAAAATGAAGTAATAATTGATGCACAGGGGCCTGCTTTTAGGGCCACAATTACTGTCTTTTTAAACATCTCATGTACACAGGTAATTGGGCAATAGACTAGACTTGGAAAATCCACTCTTTAAAATTGGCAAATGTGATTCTGGCCCCAAATTTAAGGATGCCACATTCAAATATTTCTTTTAAAACAAGATTTTTCATAACTCTGATGTCAGATTTCTTCACAATTTACTTGTGTGGATTTTAGAAGCATTTTTTAAAAATCTCTCAGAAACCAAAGACTATGTTTTCCCTCCATTGGAAAAGCAGGCTGTGCTCCTTATTACTTTATATTTATATTGTGATATCTCCTGACTACTTATAGGCAGAGCGGCGATACACAAGAAGCAAGCTGCTGACCATCTATAAGAAATGGTAGTGAAATGAGGCAGTACTACACCAGGATCATTAGAATGGTTTTAGAAAACATCACTATCAGCAGACAACTGTGCAGTCTTGGATTACTTTTAGTTAATACTATAAGCATACAAAATTATTTGAAAAAGTACAAAATGAACAGGGCTTTACATTAAAATAAAGTTTGAGGCTAGGCACTTTAAAAACTTTTGTTTTTAAAAAAATGTGCCTTATTGTGCTCCACAAATTTTCCACAATTTTAAAAGCAACATTTTTCAATCTTGTATATTTATCACTTGTATAGGCACCAATTATGAAGTACACTTTTTTATGTTATCAAACATATTGAAATTAAGTGGCTAAAAAGGCCCCTTAAAAGTCCAATAGCAGACAAAGTATTTTTTTTTAAGATTAATACATATGCTAACCTACTTCATTAATATTTATTAACAAGATGAACGGGTTAAATTTCCTGTGCCTATAATGTAGAGCCCTGTGAAAGGTGTGCTTGCATAAGGAATGCAATTTTTTTTTATATTAAAAAAACCCACAAACAAACAGAGCTCTGAAACACTATCCCATTAAGATTAATACTGAGAGCTGAGAAAAACTGTATTGTGACTTAAAAATAGTAGAACACAGTCATATAAATTCTGTACAGATATGGTGTGGCTATAGTAATATGTAAAAACACCTTCTTTCCAAACTGTTATGCTGCAAAAAGCAACATGAGACCACAAACATCCTTTCCATACATGACACTTTTTCACAGCATAACTTTAATGTGAAACTGCATACTAGTTAGGATCCTAATATTTTTAATTTTTAATTTTATTCCAGATGGGGTAATATTGCATATTTTTAATAGACTATAAATGTGCAAGTTTCTTTAGGTTAACCCTCTGAAGTAGAGAAGAAAGCAGAGTTTCAGAATGTATCCTATATTTCTCCAACCTTTATAGCTTATAAAAGCCTTTTGGGACTTTGGTCAGTGGTGATATGGCAGAAAATTTCTGATGAGTGCCACAGCGGGCAAATCTAGTTTTGGTACTGGTTTTGAAATGTTCTGCATTTCCATGTTACACATCTAATTTCCAGTGTTGCATTTCACCACTTTTCAAACAGATTAACAAGGAGATTTTAGGTTTGCTTTTTCCTGTGAAAGTCTTTTTTTTTAATTATTATTTGAAGGATGCTGTAACCCTGGGGAAAGGTTCACATTTGTGCTAATCAAACTACAGTTAGTAACACCAGATGTAGTATATCAGGTATAAACTTTTAACACTTACCCATAAACAGCAAAACCATACATGTTAACCGTGGAAACAAAAGTTCTTTTCCACTATTAACTTGTTAATAAGATCTCCATACGTATGAATTAGTTACAGTTAAGACCACCATAATACCATTTGTATTACATGGTTTAACAACATACTAGTACAAGTCAACTCACCGCAACATTAGATAGTGGGGATTTATGCTGACAATCACAGCATAAAAATTAGATGCATAATATGATTTCCTACATGCCTCTTCTAGTCACAATAGATCTTATACTTCTCACAAAACACCTGGTTGTTAAGGACAGACCCCTCAGATGTGTCTCCACAGGACCGGATATGACTTACACTCGGGTTACTGGTCCTGGCTTTGGAAGCAGATTTAGTGCGCACCCTTTTGGACTGCTCATGGTCAAGCTCCAGATGCTCCAGGCGCTGGGTCAGTGCCAGTTTTTGCTGGATTGCCATACGAAGCAAGGAGTTCAGAGTCTTCTTCTCATCCTCAGCTGCTGCGAGCTGGCGTTGCATTTCATCCAGCTGTGTGACATATTCGTCACATCTGCAATGAAATATATCAAGAGTCTTTAGCAACCCTATTTTCCACTACAAAGCATGAATCCTTTGTGCTCAGCGGACATGGCCACAGGCTGATAGGAAGGAGTTTTGTAATCTGTTGTGTGCATATTTATATAGAAACTTCAGCAAAACCACTGCACCACAATTATTTTCTTCTGTGGATCTCCAAATCCCACATTTAGTGCTCAAGTTCTCCCACTTTATATATGAAAGTACTCATTATAGGCCTCCCTGACTACCCAAGTATGGGACCTGGAAGCTCTGTGAGGGGGCTCTGTCTGAAAATTGAGCACCCCACACTTGACCTGGTAGCGATGAGTTACAACGGATGACTCATTCTTCACAGAAATGGGGCATTCTATTACAGAAAGTTAGGACTTTAGTTCTAAAGTGTAGGTTTGAACAAAAGGGTCCTATAACTTTTAATGAAATGACCATTAATGCCGTTTTACCATTGATTCAAATGAATTCATTTCCCTATTTTCCATGAGGCTGAAAGACATTTAATAAATTCCCCTTGTCTGTATGTTCCAATGCACATCCAAGCTCAGTCACTCTCCCTGTCCCAAAGAAAAGGCCTATAAGCTGCCCAATAACGTTTGATTAGATTTTTTTTTTTTTTTTAAGAGGAACAGGTGTAGATTCCAAAACTCCAGTTTTGCCTACCCTGTTTACTGGTGTAAGATACCAGAGATTAGTGTTTTATTGCTGTTTTGTTTTGAGCAAGTATGTCTTTTTATGCAAAAATCGTTGTTTTCAATATAACAGTTTTGAAATCAATTTCTAGCAAAGAAAAAATGGGCCCTTCCAGTGTTACATGGCATCTTGCAGGGCAAGCTTCACAAATGCCTGTGAGCTGTTTAATCTGTAATCACTTTCATTGAGCTTGGGAGCTATTAAAACTGCATCATGCACCATAAACAATTCTAAATGAAGTCCTTCACGTGTAGGTGTGTGGTTACTGTATGTAGATATAATGAGTGTGGTTGTAAAAATAAATAGGTCTATACACCAGCAGAAATTTCTCATTACCACATCTGTAAAACTGAGCATCTTCATAAAAATCAAAGCCAAACCTCCACCAGGGAGATCTTTCTTGTGAGATGTATTGTCAAGCTACTAGTAATGTATAATCTAAAGCAGAGGGGGGAAATGCAGATTCACAGACTGTGCCTTATGAAGGGCCCAATTATTTCCCCATTGACTTCAACAGCAGCAGAGGCCAGCCTGCTGTCTAACTGAGTTTGCAGGAGAAAAGTTTATTATTTTGAAATACACATTGAAGAAAGTATCCAATAGTCGCCCCTAAATGCTCATGTCAAACTTGAGTGCACTCAGACTGCAGTGTAGTTTAGCGTACCAGGGACAACTGGACTCAGTGCCACAGATCGGAATCTACCTTTTTTCTCATGAAGGAGATGTATTGAGAGTAAAGACCCAAGATGGTAACAATACATGGAATTCTTGGAGAGTTTTGAGGTGGGATTGAGACAAGGCAGTGTGCTGACTCCTCTTCTCTTCAGCTAGTTATGGAGGTAATTAGTAGGAGAATCAAGCCAGCAAGGAGACAGAGAAAACTCTGTATGCTGACAATCAGGCCCTTTAGGCTGACAGCAAAGAGAAATTAGCTAATATGGTATCAGAGGGGGCATCTGTGTTTGAAGACCATGGTTTGAAGGTAAACACAAAGAAAACTGAAGTTGTGCAAGTAGGGAAAGTGTAAGAAGGGTGGTTGATGGACATTTCAGGAGAGAAGCTACTGCAGAACTACTAACTGTGGAATGTAACCTATCATTTAAATGAGCTTCTATATCAAATGACTGGAGGATAGCTAATGTGATGCCAATTTTTTAAAAAGGCTCCAGCGGTTATCCTGGCAATTATAAGCCGGTAAACCTAACTTAAGTACCAGGCAAATTGGTTGAAACTATAGTAAAAAAAACAAAAAAACACAGAATTATCAGACACATATATGTACACCATTTGATAGGTGAAGAGTCAACATGGTTTTTGTAAAGGGAAATTGTTCCTCACCAATTTATTAGAATTCTTTGGGGGGGTCAACAGACATGGACAAGGGTGATCCAGTGAATATTGTGTACTTGGGACTTTCAGAAAGCCTTTGACAAGGTCCCTCACCAAAGGCTCTTAAGCAAAATAAGCAGTCATGGAATGAGAAAGAAGGTCCTCTCATGGATCCGTAACTGGTTAGGTGGTCACAGTTTTCAGAATGGAGAGAAGTAAATAGTGGCGTCCCCCAAGGATCTGTACTGGGACCTGTGCTGTTCAACATATTCGTAAATGATCTGGAAAAAGGGGTAAACAATGAGGTGGCAAAATTTGTAGACAATACAAAGTTACTGAAGATTGCAGTCTGCTTTGGACTTAACTAAGAGTTACAAAGGGATCTTTCAAAACTGGGTGACTGAACAACAAAATGGCAGATGAAATTCAAGGTGGATAAATGCAAAGTAATGCACATTGGAAAACATAATCCCAACTATACATACAAAATTATGGGATCTAAATTAGCTGTTACCACTCAAGAAAGATCTTGGAGTCATTGTGGATACTTCTCTGAAAACATCTGCTCAATGTGCAGCGGCAGTCAAAAAAGCTAACAAAGTTAGGAAGCATTAGGAAAGGGATAGATAATAAGACCGAAAATATCATAAAGCCACTCTATAAATCCCTGGTCTGCCCACACCTTGAATATTGCATGTAGTTCTGGTCACCCCATCTCAATAAAGATATATTAGAATTGGAAAAGGTACAGAAAAGAGCAACAAAAATGAGTGAGAGTATGGAACAATGTCTGTATGAGGAGAAATTAAAAAGACTGGGACTTTTCAGCTTGGAAAAGAGACAACTCAGAGGGTATATGATAGAGGTCTATAAAATGATATGACTGGTGTGGAGAAAATGAATATGGAAGTGTTATTTATTCCTTCCCATAACACAAGAACCAGGGGTCACTCAATGAAATTAATAGGCAGCAGTTTTAAAACAAACAAAAGGAAGTACTTCTTCATACAATGCACAGTCAACCTGTGCAACTCATTGCCAGGGGATGCTGTGACAGCCAAAAGTATAACTGAGTTCAAAAAGGAACTAGATAAGTTCATGGAGGACAGGTCCATCGATTGCTATTAGCTAAGATGGTCAGGAATGCAACCCCATGGGTGTCCCCAGCCTCCTGATTGCCAGAAGCTGGGAGTGAACGATAGATGATGGATCACTCGATGATTACCTGTTCTGTTCATTCCGCCAGAAGAACCCGGCATTAGTCACTGTTGGAAGACAGGTTACTGGGCTAGATGGACCATTGATCTGACCCAGTATGGCTGTTCTTAAGCTGATTTGGAAAAAGAATTTGTGTATTTAGGAAGTACACTTAGTGCTACTGGAGAGACATCCGGAGAATTGAAAAGAAGAACCCAGTGTGCTGGGACAGCAGTGAAAAAGGTAGCAGGAGTGCTGTGGGACCTGTAATTAAGTAACAAATTGAAAGGAAAAGTGCATGCTGCATGCGTTTGTCCCTGCTTGCTCTATGGTTTGGAAAAGATGAGTCTTACAGAGATGGAAGAAAAGAAGATACAGATAGTAGAAAATAATATACTGAGACAAATGGCAGGTAAGTGGAGGGTTGACAGAGTGCACCTGGAATTCATTAGGGGGAAGATAAACTTGGGACTCTCAGTGATAGATAGGCTGGAGTGAGTATGCTTGAGGAGGTCTGGACTTGTGAAAAGAATGGGAGAAAAACGAAAGCATGGGGGGAAGAGGAGAGCAAGAAAGGATGTGGAAGACCGAGGAAAGATGGAAAGACCCTGTCAAAAGAAGCTTGAAGAGAAAAGGACTACAGCTGCAAGACTTAAAAATCCATGCCATGGACAGGAAGGAGTGGCGAAGAACTGTGGGTACCTCAGACCCCGTGTAAACAGGAAAAGGAGTTTAGTACAACGGATATATTTCCAAGGCAAAATTGGGGGGAAAAAAAAACTCCAAAGCTAGAGGAACCAGACTTTATACTTCCCAAACTATGGGCCAAGTCATCCCCTCTGATCTGTCACTGGTATTGAGGAAGGAAGGGAGCAACAGGAAACAAGTTTAAGTGTCCCCAAAATGTGCTGGATGGAGGAGAAATGAACCTTTAGGACCATCATTTCCCTTCCCCTCCCATAAGCTTCCCTGCAGTCCCATGTAAGCTTCCCTGCAGAACTTCCCCACCTATGGAATGAGGACAGAGGTGTCGATGTGGCTGGGGATAGCTGCCCTATGCTGCATGTCCCAGCAATCCTGCAGAGAGATGTTCACAGGAATGAATCATTTGGACCCTATCAGCACTAACTGCTGCACCATCCCCTCTATGCTGGCAGATGGAGATGGATTTTGTTGCCAAAAGGTGAAGGGGGAGGCGGAAAGCACAAGGAATATCCCAAAAGGACTAAAGATCTCAGGACGGCCAGAGATCTGTGGGATTTTCCTACAGTTCTTGGGAGAGCCATGGTGTTTGGCAAATCTACCACCTCCTTCACCAAACCAGACTCTTTGGAAACTGGGCTACTGTAAGCCAATGGAATTTTCATAGTATCTTGTGACCTCTTGTTTTTTCCCCCTGCAGTAGAATGTGATCTGCCCCTAAAACATGATGATTCATTAGGCCAAATTCGGTCCCAGTTTACACCGCTTGCGTTCCTAGAGCAGGACTGCTAGAAGTCGATGCTGCACAGAGCAGCTATCCCCAGCCACACCCACCCCTCAGTCCTCACTGAGGTAACAGGATCATGCAGGGTGAACATCAGAGCAGAATTTTGCTGCTTTTCCAACCATTTTCAGATAGAAGTAAACTATCAATTTCTTTTCAATCTGAACTGCACACTTCAGCCCCCAACCTCACTACAGTGAGGCGGATTTATAACTACTGCAGCCATTCATTTGATTTCTATTGCAAAAATTGTATTAAAAGACTTTGAGGAGTTG